AATTTGCATTCCTACTAATATACGAGAGTATAGAGAGACAGAAAGTGAGAAATCACCCCCCAGGGGGGGATGGCCACGCTGCAATCCCTTCTCCTCCATTCTCCTCTCGGGATCTTGGGCACGCCACGTACACGCGCCCGGTGTGAGTTTAAGCCACCCGGGTCTGTGACTTGAACCGTGGTCGACTACATGGGAGTCCAGCAACATAGCCATTAGGCTAACCGCTGGTCCCATCCATATTGTTTTCCACAGTGACTGGACCAGTTTACATTCCCACCAACAGTGTAGGAGAATTCCCCTTTTTGTTTGTTTGTTTGTTTGTTTTGGGAGAGGTTTTTTGCTATAGGGCGCCTGCGCTCTCCAGACAGACAGAGACAGACAGAGAGATACGCTAACTGCTGGTCCCATCCCTTTTTGTTTTGTTTTTAAGAGAGATTTTTGCTATTGGGTGTGTGTGCTCGCTGATGAGAGGGAAAGTGAGAAATCACTTTCTTATGTTTTTTAAACATTCAATTGCTATGCATCATTTGGCTTGTAAAGAGAATTTACCCAACATGAAATACTTCTCAGACCAGTCCAGTTGAGAATACGCTAACTGCTGGTCCCATCCCTTTTTGTTTTGTTTTTAAGAGAGATTTTTGCTATTGGGTGTGTGTGCTCGCTGATGAGAGGGAAAGTGAGAAATCACTTTCTTATGTTTTTTAAACATTCAATTGCTATGCATCATTTGGCTTGTAAAGAGAATTTACCCAACATGAAATACTTCTCAGACCAGTCCAGTTGAGAATATTATACATATTATCATTAACAGGTAATAAACCATTTCGTGTACCACAAATGTCATGTCTCTGTTTTTTTCTCTATTTTTGCCATGTTGCAATCCATGCTTCTCCATTCTCCTCTTGGGATTCTAGGTATGCATGCACACATACCCAGTGTGAGTTTCAAGCTGCCAAGTCCGGGACTTCAACCATAGTCAGCCGTGTGGGAGTCCAGCATGCTAACTACCATGCCACTTACTGGCGCCAGTGTGGGTTTTTTTAGGGTAACAGGAGAGTCAAAAGAATTGAAGGGTAGGAAAAGTTAGGTAAAAGGGTAAATTTATTTTTAAATAAATTTTATTAGATATTAGCCTCTTAATTTGACATTGATGCATGGCAGACTATCATTTGGATTTTACAGTTTGACAGTTATATTAAAGTATCCTTCCTAAAATATTCTTCGCATAGGTTTTTTTTTAATACTTTAAAAAATTATTATTTATTTAGCTTTATTTATTCATTCATTTAATTTTAATTTGACCAGAGAGAGGCACAGACAGAGAGAGAGAGAGGGAAAGGGAGAAAGGAAGCCGCCAGGTCTGGGACTCGAACCGCGGTCGGCCATGTGGGAGTGTCCAGCACCTTAACCACCACACCACCTACTGGTCCCCATTCACATAGGTTTTTGTTTGTTTGTTTAAGTTGTAGGAACAGTGATTTTTATTTTTATTACTTTTATTTTTATTTTTTTTGCTATAGGGTGTGTATGCTCCAGAGAGAGAAAGAGAGAGGGAGAAAGAAATCACACCCCCGGGGGGGACAGCTGTGCCTCAGTCCCTTCTCTTCCAGTCTTGTCGTGGGATTTTGGGGACATGGGTACAGGCACCAGCATCATTTTTAAGCCACCAGGTCCAGGACTCAAACTGTGCAGCTGGCCACATGGGTTCCAGTGCCTTAACCTCCATGCCTCCTGCTGCTGGCCCAGCTTTTGCTCTTATAACTCTTGAACATGTATTTGGGAGCTGGATGACGATACAGCAGTGAAATGTGACACTCTGAGGGTGGGAGGGCTCTGGGTTTGCTTCTGAGGACCTCCCTGGGTAAGCCATCCTGTATGTTCCCTTGGTCCAGGGCCGACTGGAGCTATAGGTGGATTGTGACATCAAGACTCTTTTGGAGGTGCTGTATCTCAGTCTCTCTCACTTATGGATAATGGGACACATAAGAAAAAATAAGTAGACTTTAAAAATTAGTAATACAATTTGAATATGTTGTCTCTTCTAGGTTCTCTGCTAGGCAAATGAGAAGGTACGATTTTTGACTTACACAGTGGCTGGGTACACTTAAGGCAACTGTTCTTGATCCTTAACATGAGGGATCCGTGAGGTCAGAACTATTTTCATAGTAATACTGAGATGTGTTGCCTTTTTTTATTGAGAGATTTTTATTATAAAGGCGCGTGCGCTTGCTGGAGAGACAGAGATAGAGTCAGAAAGTGAGAAATCGCCACTCCCGGTGGGGATAGCCACGTTGCAATCCCTTCTCCTTCATTTTCCTCTTGAGATCTTGGGTGTGCGTGTGCACACATCAGTGTGAGTTTTAAGTCACCCTGTCCAACATTCAAACCGGAGTCGACTACGAGGAAGTCCAGCCATGTAACCATTACGCCATCTGCTGGTCCCATGTTGTTGACCTTTTATGGTTGTTAAAGCATGCTGACATTATTCTCATGCAAAAGCAATGATAGGTAAAGACTTTTGTCACTTTAGTACTTTTTTTATTTTTTAAAAGCCAGTTTTGTTGAAGAATATCCTAGATAAATAGTAAAAATGATTGATTTGATTAAGTCTTGATTCTGGAATGCATGCATTTTTAATATTTGTGCAACAAGATGGGCCCATGCCTAAAGTGGTTCCACTGCATACTGAAGTGTGATGGGTTTCGAAGAAAAGCACTTATGTGATTGAGTTGTAAGCTGCACTAGCTGCTTTTTTCATGGAAAACCTCATTTTCACTTAAAAGAGGGGTGACAAACTATGATTACTCTGACTTGAGTGGCAGACATTTTCTCAAATCGTGAAGTGAGCCTGTCACTTCGAGGAAAACAACTGACCATATTTGTTGGCAATGAGAACATTCACACTTTCAAACAAAAATTAAAATTTTGGAAAACTAGTATCTATTACTGTGAGCTTGACAGCTTCCTGGTTCTTAAAATCTTTCTGATGAGATTGGTGGTTTTAGCAAATAGAAGTTTGAAATATGTGAACTTTGGGAAAATCTGCATAATGCAGTGGACCAGTATTTTTCAGCTGTACAACTATCCCTTCAAAGTGAGCAGACCAGTGAACAGTAATGTAGCAGATTAGGAAAAATTCATTGATAAAATTTCAGATTTCAGGCCAGCAGATGGTATAGAGGTTAAGGATCTCATATGACCAGCTTTACAGTTTGAGTCCTGGACTTGGTAGCTTGAGAATCACACACAGCACGTGTGTATGCATGCCCAAAATCCGGAGAGGAGAATGGAGAAGGGATTACAGTGTGGCCATCTCCTTTGGGGGATGATTTCTCATTTTCCCTTTCTCTGTCCTACACATGCCCTATAGCAAAAACTTAAAAATAAAACCAAAACAAATCAGATTGTGGGTTGCAAATTCATCTCACAAGAAATGACAACTGTGTACTGAAGTATGTTAGTTGTCTTGAGGAAATGGCACGTGTGAGGGTGCATGGTCTGCTCAACTAGCCATTTTCTTTATGGATTAGTTTTGGTGTAATATGAAAGCATGAGCTCCACAGTTAGCTCAGAAGGTTACTTAGTACTTTTCCCTTTTCTAGCTAAATATCTCTTTGAGATTGAATTTTCATACTTCAACTAAAATGAAATATTGGGATACATTGACTGTAGAAGCAGGTATGAGAGTCCACGTGTTTTCTGTTAGATATTAAAGAAATTGGCAAAAATGTGGAATAATATCATTACATTATACTAATTGTTATTTATTACTTTTTTTCTTTTATTGCGGCAGTAACTGGCCTTACTATTTTTAATAAAAAGTGAACAAAAGATAAAAATAAATTGTGAAAACTTCATTTTTAATTTCTATATGTTATATATCAGCTGCCATAATGCATATAAACTAAATGGATTGGGAAACCAAATACTGAAGAGGGATGTCATGACGATCATCCCTTGAACTTTGTGCCCTTTCTGCTTTTCTGTGCTGGCTCACTACTATGTGAATGACTGGTGTGTCTGTTTGCATCTTAAGTCCTCAAATCTCTGTCATAGCATTGGCTCGGTTAGGGCTTCATTTTCTTTGCCTTGTGTGATTGCATCTGGATTTTTAATTTGAGAATGACTCTTGCCAACTTTTTTCCATCCCCATTGCCTTCAGCACAGTTAGGCTCGTATGACTTTATTACAGGATTACTTTAATATTCTAGCATTTTTCTAATAAAGTGTTTTTCAGACTTTGAGTGTGGAATTCCAGGGTTGACTTGACTTTAAAATTAGTAGTTTGGGGACCAGTAGATGGTGTAATGGTTCTGTTGCTGGACTCGCACATAGTCGACCGTGGTTCAAGTCCCAGACCGTGGCTTAAAACTCATGCTGAGCACATGTGCGTATGTGCCCAAAATCCTGAGAGGAGAATGGAGGAGAAGGGATTGCGGTGTGACCATCCCCCCTGGGGAGTGATTTCTCACTTTCTGTCTCTGTCTCTTGTGTGATCATACAGGCCCTATAGCAAAAATATCTCTTAACAAAAAAATTATTAATACGATCTCTAAAATTGTAGATGTAAACTCTTTATGGAGTTTACAAAACTAAAGCAAATTTACAAATTAAATACAGACCATCAAATTATCTACATATATTTAATGATTTATTTTGTTAAACTGAATAGCTAATGTTAGTATTTATAGTAGAATGACATAGCCTCAAGGACCAGTTTTATAATAAATCAATTTCTGTAATTTGGCCCAGTAACAATGCTATCACAGAGAATGGCTGTCGGCATAAATATTTTTTATAAAATGGTGTTAATAGTCTTTGTTTATTTGTTCAGAATAATTAGACCCAACAGTTAACTAGAAGAATGCCAGTTTTAACGCCTGTTGAAAATTCTTAAAGATCTGTTGGTCAGTGAGGCGTTTTGGAGTTACTGAAATCTGCATTAAATGGACATTTAATACAATTATCCTTGGAATCTTTACCAGAAAAATGTTTATTACCTGTTTTAGTACTGGGTTTACTGCTGACTCTGTTGCTGGTTGGCAGGATCTCTATCCTGAGGGCTTTGCCAGCGGCAGGATTCTAAGCTGCCTCAGGGGCTCCTGTGAGTGCCAGCCTCACCTTGTCTGTCTTACCTCACCTGCCTTCTTTGTTCTGTTTAAGCACTCAGGACCACGTTCATGCTAAACATTTTCCTTGGTTTTTGATTGTTTCTATCCAGTTAGACTTGAAGTTCTATGAGGCTACAGATTTTTCTGTTTTGTTAATTGTTAAGTTTTTGGTTTCCATTATAGTGTATTAGATGCCCAGTGTTTATTGGATGAATGAATAGAATTGCATTTTAATGGTTAGAATAAAGGAAGCTGTTCTCATATTCTGGTTAAAAATTGTACTATTGCAATTTTACCTTTGAAACTAAATATTTTGACCAAAACATTTAGAAACCACATGTATTAAGGTCTGCAGCCATTTTTTCTTGTAAGTGCCTCCTTTTGCTAATACGTGAATATTTGGAGCTGTGTATTCATACTTAACTGGCTATGGTGCTGTGGAAAGATCACTGAACATGGAGTCAGGAGATCTGATTTGAATTTGTCATTTGTGAGGGGAAGGTGACCAAGGGCAGCTACCTGAAGCCTTACAATGTAGGCTAGAGCTAGGCAAGTCCATATGTATATTTTGTATTTGCAACCAGTCTTTGAGGTAGGTGTTTGTGTAAGGACTTTTAAGGCAGTATCAGCTTCCTTAATAAAAAGAAATCTTAGGAACTTATGCTTAGTTTTATGTGCAGGATGTCTTGATTGGTAAGGGAACTTGAAATGCAAGATCTTAACCATCCCTGAGATTTGTCCTTTTGGGTGTTTTTAGTAAGAGGACATATTCCCCTCGTTTTATTAGTTCAAGCATGGGTAGGCCAGCCTTTCCTTTTCTAGCACAGCTAAACTTCATAAACGATGTGCTGATGAAACATACATTACTCGTTGTTGGTGTTGGTTAATAGACTTATTTTTTTTTGGCTTTTTAAGTCCACTACTTTTCAGGCACATGAATTAAAATGGTTCTTGCTATTGAAGATTTTACAATAGGGATAGGGTGGAGTGAAAAACATGAAAAATGTGACTTTAATGTGTTGTTAATGCTATGGAGTAGGTGGGAGTTTGTTTTATGTAAAATGTCCTTCTAATTGGTGCTCAAAGTTTTGTCATTCCTTTTTTTTTTTTTTTTTAATAGCTCTGCCTATTTATCCCAGTATACCCCCCACTCCAGCAGGGACAGGGGAAGGGAAAGACAGGGAGAAAGCACCTCTTCCCCCAGGGCATGGTCACACCATAGTCCCTTCTCCATTTCTCCATCTTGTTGGGATTTTGTGTGCACACACAGGGGCCTGGCGTTTTTCAAGCTACTAGATCCAGACTCAGGAAAGCGAGAAATCACCCCCCAGAGGGGATGGCCAGACCGCATTTCCTTCTATTTCACTCTCCTCTTGGGATTTTGGGCACACACATGCACCCAGCATTAGTTACAAGCTGCGAGTTCCGGGACTCAAACCACAGTCAGCCATGTCCAGTGATGATGATGTGCTGGTCCCCACAATTCTTTTTTTTTTTTTTTTTGGAGGGATTTTCACTATAGGGCACGTGCGCTCGCCAGACAGACAGAGAGAGACAGAGAGACAGAAAGTGAGAAATCACCCCCCGGGGGGATGGCCATGCCACAATCCCTTCTCCTCCATTCTCCTCTCGGGATCTTGGGCACGTACGCACACGCGCCCGGCGTGAGTTTAAGCCACCGGGTCCGGGACGTGAACCGCGGTCGACTACATGGGAGTCCAGCAACATAGCTGTTACGTTAACTGCTGGTTCCCCCCACAATTCTTTTTTTTTTTTTTTTTTTTGAGAATTTTTTTCCTCTCTTTATGGCACGGTTCCAGACAGACAGAAAGACAGAGAGAGAGAAATCACCCCCCAGGGGGGATGGCCACACCACAATCCCTTCTTCTCCATTCTCCTCTCAGGATCTTGGGCACACATGCACACACGCCCAGCGTGAGTTTTAAGCCACCGGGTCTGGGACGCGAACCACGGTCTACTACATGGGAGTCCAGTGACATAGCCATTATGCTAACCGCTGGTCCCCACAGTTCATTTTTTAAGATGCACATTCTAGGACCAGCTGGTGGCACGGTGGTTAAGGTGTCTGGATCCCACATGGCCAACTGAGTGGTTCAAATCTTGGACCTGGTGGCCTGAAAATAAACTGGGTTGGTTTTGTGTGTGTGTGTGTATGTGTGTATGCCTGCCCCAGAATCCCTAAAGGAGAAACAGAGGAGACTCCCAGGGCGGGGGTTGTTTTCTCTATGCCTGAGGATTTTATGTAAATAGATTAATGAAGCCCTACCCATTTATTCAGTTACTTAAGCCAGAAAGTCACCTTTCCCCTCACTTTCCATATTTAAATGATTGTTGGGTGGAAATTATCTCCCAGGTAACTCCTGAATTCACTTACTTTTCTGTCTCAATCACCAGTGTTAGCATCTCTTTGTCAAGAGATTACTGCACTGGGCTCTAACCTGGCTGCAGTTACTGTCTCTCTTTCTCCTCTCTCCTCTTGTTCCAGTGCAGCTGACAACTTGGTCTTTGCAAACTGTAAATTGCCCCCTCCTTTTACCTAAAACATTCAGTGGCTTCCCATGACTCTTAAGATAAATAAAAAATCCTTGGGACCAGCAGTTAGCGTAATGAGTATGTCGCTGAACTCCCGTGTAGCCGACTGCGGTTTGAGTCCTGGACCCACGCCGGGCACGTGTGCGTGCGTGCCCAAGATCCCAAGAGGAGAATGGAGGAGAAGGGATTACGTGGCCAATCCCCCCTGGGGGGTGGTTTCTTGCTTTCTATCTCTTTGTCTCTCTCTGGTGAACGCACGTGCCCTATAGCAAAAACCTCTA